CACCGAGCCTTGACTGTGCCAATGTGCAAAAGACAGAAATATCCCAAAGTAAGACAGTTTGAAATTGATAGATAAGAATTAAAGTGGAAGGATGGGGAAGCTGTGGGGTTCACTCTCTTCCTGGCCAAAAGTGTGGAGAAATATTCACAAGGCCTATCTGACTCAGGGGGAAGCTCATCTCTCTCATGCACTGGCTGTGGTTTTTGTTTGCTGGTAACTTATGTCATCTTCTGACATAAAAAAAAGAGCTAATATATAAAATGTATAAAGAACCCAAGAAGTTAAATATCAACAAACCAAGTAATCCAATTTAAAAATGGGGTACAGAGCTAAACAGAGAATTCTCAATAGAGCAATATAGAATGGCTGAGAAACACTTAAAGAAATGCTCAATGTCTTTAGTCATCCAGGAAATACAATCAAATGACCCTGAGATTTCACCTTACACCCATCAGAATGGCCAAGATCAAAAACTCAAGTGACAACACATGCTGGAGAGGATGTGCAGAAAGGGGAACACTCCTCCACTGCTGGTGGGAATGTTAACTTGTACAGCCACTTTGGAAATCAATCTGGTGCTTTCTCAGAAAATTAGGAATAGTGCTACCTCAAGATCCAGCTATACCACTCCTGGGACTATATCCAAAAGATGCTCGACCATACAGCAAGGACACTTGCTCAGCTGTGTTTATAGCAGCTTTATTCACAATAGGCAGGATCTGGAAACAACCTAGATGTACCTCAACTACATAATGAATACAGAAATTGTGGTGCATTTACACAACGTATACTACTCAGCTATTAAAAACAAGGAAATCATGAAATTTATAGGCAAATGATGAGATCTAGGAAAGCTCATCCTGAGTGAGGTAACCCAGAAAAGAAAGATACACATGGTATATACTCACTCATAAGTGGATATTAATCATATAATATAGGATAAACATACTAAAATCTATATTCCTAAAAAAGTTAAACAGCAAGGAAGACCCTAGGGAAGAGGTTTAATCTTCAGTCAGAAGGGCAAATAGTATAGACATCGGAAGCGGGAGAAGACAGGGAACAGGACTGGAGCCTCCCACAGAGGGCCTCTTAAAGACTCTACCCAGTAGGGTATCAAAGCAGATGTTGAGGCTCATAGCCAAACTTTGGGCACAGAGTAAAAAATCTGGGCCCAGGGGGATCCTGCAGAGACTGATGAATCAACAAGGACCATACATGAAAAGGACCTAGACCCCTGCTCAGATGTAGCCCATGGATAGCTAAGTCTCCATGTGGATTCCCTAGTAAGGGGAGCAGGGGCAGTCACTGACATGAAGTTGGTTGCCTGCTCTTTGATCACATCCTGCCGGCAAGGTGGCCTTATTAGGCCACAGAGGAAGATGATCCAGACAGTCCTGATGAGACCTGATTGGCTAGGATCAGATAGTAGGGGAGGAGGACCTCCCCTATCAGTGGACTAGGGGAGGGACGTAGCAGAGGAAGTGGAATGGGGTGGGGAGGAGATGAGTGAGGGGGCTAGAGCCAGCATACAAAATGAGTAAATTGTAATTAATAATAATAAAGAATATTTAAATTATATATTTAATTGAATTAGAATTGTATCATTTTCTCCTCCAAACCCCTCCCTTTTTTAATTCTTATTGTTATATACACACACATGCACACACACACATGCACACACGTACACAAATATAAACACTGTCACACGAGTCTGGGTTTTGTGGTTATGTTTGTATAAGGATCCGTGGCTGACCACTCTGTATTGAACAGTCAATAAGTTATGTTTTCCCCTGACTCTATAAAGGGGAACCCCACCTCTTTACCCCGTGCATCTAAACCCTCTCACTTTCGTTCTTCTCTCAGTCACTTTCTCCAGACCACAGCTCCTCATCTATCATTGCAGATTCTGTCTAAATGCTCCAGGCACTAATGGTCACTGAGGATACTCACTGCTTTTTCTTAAAATATGGGGTAACATTTATCAATACTCAGGTCACAGCCTCCCTTCTTCCTCTCTCAGGCTACAATGATGACATCCTTTATTTCAGCATAAATGTTCAGGTCAGCCAGTCCAGTGACACGGAAGGCTTTAATCTGGCATTCTAATGCCTCAAAAAGGAAACTAAGATACAAGATTCTGTGTGGTGGTCATAACTCACTGATGTCCCAATTCTGCACCACCACCTCTGCAAGAGGACATGAGAAGCTATAGTGCATTCTGGGAGGAAATGCAAATGATCACAAAGACTTACATGATGTGAGAATACTGGGTACTTGGGGAGGTCTATATTCAGGAAAATTGTCCATCTCTAGTCTGGACATTGTCACCACCCCCAAGAGAACCACATGCAAATTCACATCCTCATTCACTTCCATTGCACACCCTCCTCAGATCCTGCTTTCTGCCTTTGTGGGGCTGTCTATCCAATGTGTCATTGGGCTGTAAGTGTCACTGTGTGTCCCACTCTTTCACTGAGCACCTTTTAAAGCCCACCCATATGTTAATACAAGACAGTGTTTTGTGTATAATCATATTTTTTCGCTTCATGTCAATACTTTAGCAGTTTCTGAGATCCAGAAACCAATGTGTAAAACAGGAGACAAGGATTCCCCTGATGAGACTTCATAAACAAGCGGTGTTTCGCCAGCACACGATGAGAACCACTGTGGGAAGAGGTTGGTAATTATACCATAGCAACATCCTCTTCTCTGCTCCTTGAATGGAGCTCTCTGACTTGTATGTAATGGGGGAGGTTGGGACTTTTCAGGGACCCAGTTATCTCTGCTCCATCCATCTAGCCCTTTGTCGTTTCACTTTGGGTGTTCCCTATTCCTTCTTTTAGGGCTTCAAATACCAATCTCTGAGTTACTGAGAAGTATCAGGACTTGGTAAAGTTATGATGCTCTTATTTTCTCTCTGCTACAAAAATAATGAATTTCTTCTTTTCCCCCAGTGTTGGGCTTCTTGGACATTGTTCTAACCATGTACTGGGTAAAGAAGACCACTCTCTCTTAGCTAGTAGGTCCTATGTAGAATACATTTACATCAACTATGCTTGTTCAAACCTCTGTGACTCGCAGACTGTATTAGAATACATGACTGTGAAGCATGATATGCCTTCTTCTTGCACAGGATCAAAGTCTGAGGCTTCCAGACTCTCATAAAATCATGAAAGAATCAGGGACCTCTTTGAATGGAGGAAAGTATGTGGAATGTGCACACAGTCCTGTTCCATTTTGGAAAGATCTGGTCAAATACTAGAAAGAAGCCACTAGTGTAACTAGACAATCATGTCCTAATAGTGACAACATGTTAACCTAACCCATGAGGCCAACATCATAACCTAACACCAACCTCAAACATATGCATTATAAGAAAACAAAGTATACATGACTATCTCCTGTAAACATAAATACAAAATCCTCAACAAATATCGTTCATACACCACATAACAAAATCCTAGGAAATGGCAGTTTATCCCATAAGATTGTGATCCCACAAGATCACTATTTACCCTGTTATATTAAACTGGTTAAACAAGTCAAAAAAACATCAGAAGAAGGAGAAAACAAGGAACAAGTTAGAAGCCTGCCAGAGAGGGCCTCTGAAAGGCTCTGCCCTGCAGACTATCAATGCAGATGCTGAGACTTATGGCCAACTGCTGGGCAGAGTTCAGGGAGTCTTATGAATGAAGTGGGAAGTAGTAAGATCTGGAGAGGACAGGAGCTCCACAAGGAGAGCAACAGAACCAAAAATCTGAACACAGGGGTCTTTCCTGAGACCCATACTCCAACCAAGTACCATACATGGAGATAACCTAGAACCCCTGCACAGATGTAGCCCATGGCAGTTCAGAGTCCAAGTGGGTTCCATAGTGATGGGAAGAGGGACTGCCTCTAACAGGAACCGATTGGCCTGCTCTTTGATCACCTCCGCTTGAGGGGGGAGCAGCCTTACTAGGCCACAGAGGAAGACAATGCAGCCACTCCTGATGAGACCTAATAGACTGGGATCAGAAGGAAAGAAAAGAAGACCTCCCCTATCAGTGGACTTAGGGAGGGGCATGCATGCAGAGGGTGGAGGAAGGGAGGGATTGGGAAGGGAGGAGGGAGGGAGCTACAAGGGGGATACAAAGTGAATAAAGTGTAATTAATAAAAACTTTTAAAAAACAAGTCAAAAACAATACCACTCATCATAGCAACACAGTAAAAGTAGAAATAACATAATGAAGGAATGAAGGAAGATAAATAGCATTTGCTAATGTCTTCAAGCTTATTATGAACACTCACCATAAAGTAAGGATAGAGAACTCTCTCTATTGAATAAGATCATACTAAATAAATCTAAAATTAACATCATATTTGGTGGTCAGAAATGAGAAATTTCACATTAAATCAGGAAGAAAACCACAATGTCCACTCTTCCTGCAATTTCAACCTGATATTTGAAGTCCAAGCTAATGAAGCAAGACTAGTAAGTGAAGGTTCACATATTCTGAATGAAAATCTACAACTGTCATTTGTTTATTGAATGATTGTCTATGTAGAAATTCTGAACTGCTAACATTGTAGAATTAAGCAGTGATTATTTTTCCTATTTGTGTGTGTGTGTGTGTGTGTGTGTGTGTGTGTGTGTGTGTGTGTGTGTGTG